GGGCATGCCACCGTAGTAACGTCCACAGGAACCTCTACAGGCATGTGAAATTACACATTTACCCGCACGCTTCTCTCTTTCACCACTCGTTGACACTTGGGCCTTACACGTTAGCTTCTCCTTCAACCTCCAACCATCTCTCGACGCTCGCATGGGAGGAGAGGTCTAGGCTCCACTACCACCTGCTACGCCTACCCAGCCATGGACGGCGCAGTGAAGCTAAGCCACTCCCCTGGCCAAGCGGTAAGTTAGCTTGACGACAAGCGGGCAAAGACGGGAGGTCTGCAGCACGCTTGGCCATGGTCACGCAAAGGGAGGAGCTCGTGCAGTCCCGGCCAGTGTTTTTCTCCATCCCGGTGACCTTCTCCAGCGAGCTACCATGGGCCGGTGCGGGCAAACTCCGCCACGCGCAAGCATTTCTTCTCTAGGGGAAGGCCGGTGCCATAGTCTTCTTCCGCTCCGCGGGTGAAGTAGGGGTGCATGAGCAGTAGCCCTCGGATGGGCACGCCAGGTGTGGGGGTATGGCCCCCGGTATCCACAAGACAAGACATGAGCCGCACCATCAGAAGTGGCCTAGCCCACAAGATCAAGGCGTGCACCGCAAGTTATTATATAGTACCAAATATGATACTTTCCTTATAACCCTGCCCCTCCAGAGTATATAAGGAGAGGCAGGGGTCCCCTAGTGGACAGATCAATACATCTCATACTCAATACAATATACCAAAGACACAGGACGTAGGGTATTACGTCAATCAGACGGCCCGAACCTGTCTAAATCGTTGTCTCTGCGCCTTGTGTCACCATCCGGTTCGATTACGTGCACCTCCACCGATCAATCTACCATCGCATGGGATACCCCTCGGTGGAATGTCGAGCATCTTTTATCGACACAAGGGGCTCGGACGCCGGTGCACTCGGCCATGGCTCAGCCCCTCCTCCGACAAACGCGATGATGCGGATTGATTCGCGCCGCACCTTCCCTAGCTAGCTCGTGAAGCGCGACCAGCTCCAGGCGCAACCGCTCCGCGGCGTCGCCAGAGGGCTCCAAAGTGATGGACGCGGCCTCATCGGGGTAGGCTGGCGTCTCGGTGGAGGAAAGCGGTGTCGCCATGGATCTGACGAGCTCTCTCCCTTCCTCTTTGTATGGTGACGGCTAGAGGTTGAAGAAGAATCTAACTTGGGGCCCACGCGTCGTAGTGGAGGAAGAAAAGCGGCCCGAGGGTAAATAGGTCGTTTCGCGTGTCCTATTGGGGTTGCTAGGAAGAAGGCGCCGCAGACTGGCACCTCATCAAAAGTGGCAAAAGCTTAAACGTTTCACTGTTTATGATGGATGTGTAGATGCACGTGCAAAGCTAGCAAACCCAGAGGTGCCATCCATAACGATGGCGAAAGTTAAATATCCCCCGTCCAGGGAGGTAGGAAGTCGTGCATGTCTCATGTCCGGCCACGGCCATGGAGGGAGGAATTCCTACATGCCTGCAGTTGCTAGCGAGTGGCGTCTCCTATTTCTCGTTCGGCAAATGACACACCAACCCGTGTCAGTGAGCGCCGACAGGTGGGACCTCCCATTCCTCCTTCGCGCACGCGTCTCTTCTCTCTTCGCATCTCTCGCTCCCACCCAGGCCCCTCCACCAAGCCTGCCCAGCCCCGCGGCAGGAATCCGGCACGGTGCCCTCCGGCTGGCCGGCGAGGAGCAACCCAGCGTCCAGGTATGGCTAGGGTTTAGTGCACAATATCAAGGATTCGGTATTGGGGTAATAGATCTAGCTTGTTTTGCTGTTTTGGTTTCCGGTTTGGCTATTGCCTATTGGTTCCGCTCCTCTGCCTCCAAAAGGCGTTGGCAGGCCCAGGAGTAGGTGGGTGACCGCGCCCACGTAGAGACCCGCCACCGTCGGGGATCTCATTCAAGTGCAGATACGCATCTCCGAGCCCACTAAGCCAGGATTTGCAAGGGGGCTCCTCCGCGTCGTCACTAGCCAGGTAGGAGTAGGACCTCGCATTTTGATCTTAACTTGTTTGTTCTTCATTCATCCCATCGATCTGCTATTTTTCTCGCTGTTAGCAGCTGCAGATCACACTGTTCTGAATTGCTTGTCTGGTCATGTGCTTTCTTATTTAGTGTAGTAGCCACTTTCATTTTGAGATCAGCAACACCGGTTATTGTTCAGTGACAGCAACAACACAGTTCTAATCCATTAGTTAAGGTAATTATGGCAAGGTAATTTGAACATCACTGTGCTTTAAACAATTCCTACATGTGTGTGTTGAAAATTGGTGATCTTATAGCAGCACATTTTGTTTTACTTGGTTGGACTGCTATGTTTGGTGGCAGCAGCAAGCAGCCGGCATAGGTTCTGAACCTTGTGATTTGCAATAATCTGTGCACAATTGCTTGTGACTTCTAGTTTATTACATTGCTGATGAGTATATGTTTTGAATAGTTTAATTCTTGTTTGGATGTTGACTCCTTTGCTTGATCATTATATTAGAGCATATAGCTGTATGTGTTTGGCATCAACTTTTTTCGTTTCACAGCAGGTCATCAATAGCTACCCTGTATACTTGTGTATGCCTGTTAACCGTAGTAGTAGTAGAGCAGCTAAGTGAGCCTCTAATTTCAGAAGTATCATTTTGATGCAATAGTGAATCAACTTTTAAAGCAATCTTTAGCTGTTGCAGAACCACCACCACTCCATCTTGGACCACTACTGTAACTTAACAATAAGCGGGCAATGTGGTTACAAAATATCAAAATGCTAACCTCCAAAGAATCTGACATGTGACCTCTTTATTGTTTAGTATGGTAATCTTATACTCTTATAAAGCTAAACCCCACTAGATGTTTTCTCTCTTCATGCAAGGTGTCCACATCATTTCCCACTAAGTGTCCCACTAATTTGCATGCAATCATTTCACGCAAGCTATCCATGTCATCCCTTATTAATTACAAAAAAAAATCCACATCATCTCTATTATGTGCAATATTTTTAATCTTTAATCTATTAACATAAAGTCATCTACATATGCTATTTGTTTCATCACCTATCTTCTATAATGTGATCAAATATTCTATCGATTTTTCCTCGATTAGCTTACTGATTTCTTACAAGATTCGATATAATAAAATAATATGCAAGTTAAATTCATATATATACACAGTATACAGAATATCATATAGTATACTATATATAAGAGATTTTTTTTAAGAAAATCCTGCGGCAATGCGCAGGGCATGCTTCTAGTTAATTCAATTGCTAAAGCCTCAAAACTCATTAGTTGTGTTCTATTTTGATTCCCATGTCATTTCATTAAAAGTTATGTCTGAGTCTTTCAGTTCACCTATGTTTGGTGATTTTCTAGGTCGTGCTTGTACAGCCATGGACAAATTGGTCAGTGAGGACGACACAGGCAAGCTAGAAGAGCTCGTTGTTGTTCCTGCACAGGGTGTGGGTGCTGGAATTAGACTATTAGATGTTGTGACTACCTAACTTTTGAAACACTAATAACCTATTGAATTGGACCTAAGCAGAGTAGTTTGCTGATTTTCTAGGCTATATGACCTGGTTTTAGAACATTGTTCCTTCCTAAAGAACTTGTTAGTTTTGAGAGCTGTTTGATTGAACATAAGGGGTGAGTGGCTCTGATAAAAATGGGAAGAAAATTCTGAAGCACAAATGCATTAGTAAACATTGCTACAACAATTATGTTGGTTCATTTTTCTATCAAATATTCAAATCCTTTTTATTCTTTGGTTTATGCCAGTTTGCGGTAATACTATAGATTGAGAAACAATTTATTCTTTACACGTGATGAGTATGTTTTAGAATATTGTACTTCCATGAGAATGTGTATGTATAATATAACTACTTAATCTTTTTTCGGGTGATTAAGAATAACACAAGAGAATTGTTTTTTTTACTCTTTTAGCTAAAGTCTTATCCTGCTAGTGACAGGGAATCAGCTGCTAGCAATAGAAATTAGCTTTAATGCAAGAGTCTAATAAGACTAAACTTCTTCTGTGAGATACAAATGCAAAGCAAGGCCATTACAATAATATGTAACCCATACATGTTTGCTTTATCATTACCACATTTAACGATTATGCTTCTCCTCGTGACTGACCCTTATTCTGATTTCACGTGTAAACAGCGCAGGGGAAGGAAGCAATGGGGAGAGAGTGGAGGCAGAAGCACTATATTCGGGGTTGGCACCGTTTCCGTGACTTTTTTTTTACCGTAATCTGAGGATATTTTGTTCCAAACAGGCCCTTAGTTACGTGATTAGATTTTCTGGTTGTTTACTTTATTTGAAATCCTCCACATTACCTGAAACAAAAAAATATAAAGTGGAGGGTGTAGAAGCCATCTCTGTTTCTACCTGTACAATGTGAGAAATGGATTTTTGAAGTACAACCTGATTATATCTTCCTTAGACTTTATGATGTACTCCGTACTCCGTATGTATTTTACTGACATATTTCAGTTAGCTTCTCACATTCCATCCTGCAGTCTTATGGTTATAAAGTATATTTTGATTCCATGAAAGTATGCCTTCCGGACCAACTGATTTGTTTGATCAGGCAACTTGTGAGATAACAAGACCAAGGTGGATAAGAACCGGTGGCATCTGAACCGTCAAACTTGCCTTGCTGCATTCTGCGCTGGTGATTCTGCACTTCTGCAGTCACACCACACAAGTTGGATAAGAACCGGTGGCATCACAACCTTTGTGGTCCCTTGCTTAGATCTGCACATTCCACCTACAACATAACCAATACAAAACGCTTAAATCCCGGACGTCTTCCCCTCCGGTTAGAGAAAGATAGCCTAACCAACCGTTTGGCCGTTATTTAACCGCAAGAAAGCCGCATTCCTCCTACTCTCACTTCTTCCTACATAAATAACCTCCCATTGCCACTATTGCAGAAGAATACATGCTCCATTTCCCCGCAAATAAGTTGGCAAATGATTAAAATGTTTCGCTTCCAAGCTGCAAGAATGTCTTATGTTGTGCTAGCCCTAGCCATCTCTGCCGCCGTCGTCTCGACGGAGGCCGCAGGCGGCGTCGACGCGCCGAGTCCAGCTCCGTCGGGGCCTCTCAATCTGACCGAGATCCTCAGGAAGGGCACCCAGTACAACGCGTTCATTCGCCTGCTCAAGGACACCGAGGTGACCTCGCAGGTGGCCAGCCTGCTCGACAGCGACCGGAACGCCGACGGCCTGACGGTGCTGGCCCCGACCGACGCGGCGTTCGCGGGTCTCAGGCCAGGCACGCTCAACCGGATGGACGCGCAGGCGCAGTCGCAGCTGGTGCTGTTCCACATCCTGCCCAAGTACTACACCTTCGTGTCGTTCCAGACCACCACCAACCCCGTCCGCACGCAGGCCTCCGGCCAGCACGGCGTGTACACCGTAAACGTCACCAGCGGCGGCGAGCGTCAGGTCAACGTGTCGTCGGGGCTCATGGAGGCCATGCTGGGGAAGACGCTCTACTCGGCGTACCCACTGGCGGTGTACTCCGTGGACAAGGTCCTGCTCTCGCCGGCGCTCTTTGGCCGCAGCGACGTGAAGGATGGAGCCGAGGCACCGGCGGCGGCTTCAAAACCGCAGAAGCAAGCCCCTTCTTCGACGGCGGCTGATGATCAAGCTCCTGCTAATGAGGCTGACGCCACGGCCGCGGGGCAGATACCACAAGGACCAGGTGGCTGCTGGCTTCTGCTGCTACTGCGTCCGCGGTCGTGCTCAGCCTGCTCTCATGCTAAGTGAAGGCAATCGATCAACGTACGTGTGCATTCAAATCCTAAACTGTATTCAGCATGAAAACAATCGATCAACGTACGTGTGCATTCAAATCCTAAACTGTATTCATGCACATTTCTTCTACTATTTGTCATCTATTCGGATGTATGGTACGGATCGTGAATACTTCTAATTTCAATGCTAAATTTAGGCCAAAATGGTTACAATACGTACCATTTGCGACCAAATTGCATTTGTTGGGAGAATGTGACAAGTATTGGTATGGTCTAAAGTTTGTGTTTCGGACTAGTGCATTGTATTTATGCATACAAACACAAACAGTCCATGCGATGCGACAATGGGCGGGTGGGCAACCCAGTTGGACTCAGGCAAGTAGACCTTTTTTAGCTAATGCAAGTACTAATGCTAAATGGGTAACAGTCTGACTTATCAGCCATGGAACATTTATTTTCTCTCACAACAAATCGAACGGTCATCAGTCTGCAGAAACCATTAGCGAATAGGGCCATAAATAAGCATGCCAATGAGCGTTGATATATATATATTTGAGGCACATATGCTTAACAAATATAAATAAGCATGCTTATGAGCGTTTTTTTACTGGAAAATTCCATCACTCAACCGCCAAACGATCGGCAGTGACGATAACATTTACAACGTTCGGGATGGAGCTAGTGATCAGCTCTTCCCCTTCCACACACTCATAACCCAAATCTGCCAAGGCGTGTGCAGCTCTATTACACTCTCTTCTTTTAAACAAGCAAACAAAAGGGGAAAAGATTGAATCTACTAGAGCTCTAAGTTCATTCACCAGCCCTCCTTAGGGTCTTGCACAGGGTACCTCCGATGACAACTCTTGCTGGAGCATCAGTGCATCAGTTTCAAGAATTAATCTGCTAATCCCCATAGACAGCGCTGCTTGGATTCCTTGCAGGCCTGCTATAACCTCCGCATGGAAGGCACTTAGCAGATGATTGATACGTCCCCGACCTGTGAGTACTACATCACCCTCATGGTCACATATGATGAAACTGTAAGAATCGAATGAGTGTACCTTTGTGTAACCGTATATCGGAGTAGACCTCTTTAGGGTTCATCTATTTTGCATGCAGTTCTGCGCTTGCAACCTCACGACGCCGGTGTCGAGGCAGCTCGGCTCGGTGGCGAGGTCAGTGGTGATCCCGTGGCCTGCAGAGGCGGCGGAGGAGGTCACAGTGCGCGGTGGGGCATCCGTCACGGGCGGGCAAGCACAGCCTTTAGATCGGACTAGGTTTCTGTGAGTGGGATTGCGGCGGCTCCGGACAACTTCGGTTCCCGAGCCCAGTTCCCCACTCCTCTATATATATATGTGTGCTGTGCGACAGGGGCCTACCAACCATATTAGGGTTGGGCGCCCCCGATCAGGGCGCAGAGGCAGGGGCCCAATAGGCCGTTGGGCCTATTGGTGGAGATCAATTAACATTCTCCCCCTTGATCTCATTCCATCTTTTAATTTCATATTATTTCCTTTTGTTCATTCCATTACAGATTAGCACATAGTGCATGTCTCATCGTCACGGTCCATTGCCGATAGATTCAACAGGTACAACACACTACTCTGTTCTGAAATAGATACTTATCTTTGGGCCTTCTTTTGTCCAGGAATTTTAGGCTTTTTCTGAAACCCATGCTAGCTACATGTTCTCTGAACATCATGTTCTCTGAACACGTTGGGTGGTAAGCCTTTTATAAGCGGATCCGCAAGCATCTTTTCTGTACTTATATGCTCAAGACTTATGACTTGATCCCGGACTTTATCTTTCACAACATAATACTCTATGTCAATGTGTTTGGCGACCACTTGACTTATGTTGTGAGTATCTTTATCTTGCCTAATTATTATCATGATTATAACTTAAGTGGTCTATAGATGTAAGTCAACCACTTTCAAACCGGGTATGAACTTCTTTAGCAGTTCACACTGCCTGTTGCCTCATAATACGTTACAAAGCTGTCATACATTGTGGACGATGTAATGACGGTTTGCTTTGAGTTTTTCCATGAAATAGCTCCCCTTGCGAGAGTGATTACATATCCAGACGTGGATTTTCTATCATCTCCTGTATAATCAGAATCTGAATATCCCACTATATGGAGTGAATCAGATCTTCTATACGTCATCATGAGGCCTTTCGTTCCTTGCAAATAATGCAAGACTTTCTTTACCAATTTTCATTGTTCTGTTCCAGAATTGTTCTGGAATCTGTCAAGTAACCCAGTAACAAATGCCAAGTCAGGGCGCGTACATACTTGAGTATGTTGCAAGCTTCCGACAGCTGAAGCATATGGAACCACTTTCATTTGATTGAGCTCATATTGGTTTCTGGGGCATTGAAAATTCCCATATCTGTCGCCCTTAACTATAGGAGTAGGTGAGGGACTACATTTGTGCATATTGAATTTCTTTAAAATTCTTTCTAGGTATATCTTTTGTGATAGTCCTGATACCCCTTTACTTCTATCTCGGTGAATCTCGATCCCTAGAACGAACGAGGCTTCACCAAGATCTTTCATATCAAATTTTGAGGACAAAAACTTCTTTGTCTCCAGTTGTAGACTGACATCACTACTAGCAAGTAAGATATCATCCACATACAGGACAAGGAAGATAAACTTTTCATTCTTAAACTTTATATAGACACAATTATCCTCTACAATCTCTTTAAAACCCAAAATTCTTTATTTACTGATCAAACTTCAAGTACCACTGTCTTGAAGCTTGTTTTAATCCATAAATGGATTTCTTTATGCAGCATCACATTCGTTCTTTTCCTTCCATGACAAAACCTTTCGGTTGTGCCATGTAAACATTTTTCTCCAAGTCCCCGTTGAGGAATGCCGTCTTTACATCCATCTGATGTAATTCTAAATCGTAATGTGCCACTAATGCCATTATGATTCTGAAAGAAACTTTACATGAGACTGGAGAAAAGGTCTCATTGTGATCAATCCATTCTCTTTGCATAAAGCCTTTTGCCACAAGTCACGCTTTATATGTCTCTATATTCCCTTGAGAGTCAAGTTTTGTTCTATAGACCCATTTACAGCATACTGTTTTGGCTCCTTTAGGAATTATTTTCAAGTCCCAAATTTTATTAGCATTCATTGATTTCATTTCATCTTCCATGGCCTCAAGCCACTTTGATAAATGATCACTTCTCATGGCTTCTTCAAATGAGGTGGGATCATCCTCCATTTGAAATTCATCGATGTTGTACACTTCATAATCGGTAGGAATAGCTGATTTTTCTAACTCTTTGAGACCTTCTAGGGGCCTTTACATTTGGCACAACTTACTGTTTGAGGCTATTGTTGCTCCCCTCATGTGTGGCAATATGTTCTATAGGGTCTGAAGAGCGGGTTCCTCATAAATCATTATTCATTGACCTGCAGGTGAGATAACAACAGTCTTGGCACCATAGTATCTAGCTTTTCTCCAGTGCATTCAGTGGTAGTGAGAAAAATAGCTCATGAATTATTGGGTGGGCGCTTACACCCGCTTCACTTCAAGGTCATTTTCTCGAGCTACCATGCTCCCCTCATCAATTCATCCTTTAGGAAGGTGGCGTGTCTCGTTTTTTACAAACTTTGTATGTCTCTCTGAATAGTAGAAAAGCGAAAACCTTTTGACTTTTACGGGTAGCCAAACAAATGACAACTTCTTTGTTTTGGGATCTAACTTCCCAATGTTTGGGTTAAATACTTTAGCCTCAATGAGGCTCCCCCACACACGCGTAAGTGGTTTAGTGAGGGTACTCTTTACATCCATAACTCATACGGTGTTTTGGGCATCGACTTTCTTGATACTCTATTGAGAATATGAATGGCGGTTTTAACGCCTCCATTCACACAAAGGCTCAAGCTGTAGGTGTGAGTAACTTATCATCTGCGCACCATATCCATTCATTTGTACGATTAAATCTTTCGGCTACTCCATTTTTCTTTGAGGTTCGCCCATTATAGAATACTAGGCTACTTTGCCATTCTCTGTAAGAACCCTACATAAGGTCTGGTGAACTTGACCATATGGGGTATGCTGGGCCGTAGTACTCCCCATGGTGGAGGACACGACTATCTTTATCTTTAAATTGCATTGGATTTCAACTTTTGCCTTAAATATTTACATTTATCAATGCTTCTGTTCTTTCTTTGATTGGATAAATGTAGACATAAGGGAGTAATCATACGTAGAATGTTATGAACAAATCATTACCATCCACACTCTTTTCTGAAACCCGACCACGGATATCTGTGTGAATAATCTATAAAATTCCTCGCCTCGTTTATCATCTTTTTTACTTTTCTTTATATACTTTTCTTTTATGCATTCTCTGCATTGTTTTTAAATCTGAGAGCTCTAATAGAGGAAGAATATCATTCTTAACTTGTCTTTCTATTCTCCCCCCTCGAAATATGCTAGCTAAACAATAGTGCCATAATTTAAATGACATATCGTGATCTCTCTTATGCCACCATTTCGGAGTGACTCTCTATCTCAAAGGTATTTGCTTTATTAGCTGGGTAGCATATGTCTTTGAAGAGCCAGTGAACTGACTCTTTATTCTATCGATGTATTCGGTGACCGTGTCACACACTGGGATTTAGCCCACAATTGCAGGCTCAATCGTGTTCTTTATCACAGTCAAACATTTCTTGTTGGCAGTGACCCACTTCCTATGCTCAAAGTCATATGACATCTTTTGGGATTCAAAATCCCTTTTTTAGTTGCCTAATCAGCATCATTCTCTTTTGTCTCCCTCACCGGTGCCACAGAATCAGTGGGACACGGTGAGGTGACTACCCAGTCCATCTTAACCAAGATGAAAACCAGGTCAAACCTTTTCTTAACATATAAATAACACCATTTGCATGTCTTGATTCCAACGTTGGTTAAAATCAAAACATACAACTATTCTTATACACTAATTCTACATCACCATTGGGCAGAAATAGAATTAATGCATAAA